TCTGGTGCATTTGGCGAAAGCAATTTCAAGGCTGTTTCTGGTTAAACAAAAAGGATCTAACTCTGTTAACAAAAAGATCAATCATTGTTCCGATAGCCCAAAATTGTAAAGCCTGCTGTTGCCCATTTCTGCGACAGCTCGTTATCCAAAGCTACACATTCCCTGCAGCTGGTCAACCCTCTTGCCAGTACATTGTACGTTTCTGAAAACCCTGAATATGTCACATATGTACATTATTTTGCAGATATATAGAAACATTATGTTTCACAACACTGTGGTCAAAGTGTGGTTAGGTTTAGGCACAAACACCACTTGGTTGTGGTTAAGAAAAGATAATGTTCTGGCTTAAAACACCCAGGCCTGGCAGCAAAAAATCTGCTGAAAAAACACCCAGGGCCGATGGCTCAAAAGACGTGCACTTGATGTTTTTCCAATACAACTTGGCTCCTTTGTTATTTGTTTTCACCTTATTGTCACTGGCTGAGGACGTGACCACATTCAACCCTCACCCAGCGTTTATACTTTGGTACATTTCCTGAGTTTTGCTTTATTTGCTTCAGACTGAATTCCCAGTGATGCTGACATGCTGGTTGTGTTTTCTCCCATGTGTCCAGATGAGGTGGTGTGTCGCTGTTGTCCTGGCAGTGCTGCAGCTCTGCAGCCCGGCGCTGCAGTCTGACCCGCTGCTCTACATCTCCCAGCTGCAGGACGGACAACAGCAACCCAGCAGTGAGTCACATCAGAATACTACAGTTTCATCTGGTCTAGAGCCTTCCAAAACATACTATCTACCATTTCACAAAAGTGTCCTGTCTTATGGAATAAGAGTTAGCATGAATTAAATGATACACGATATATTTACAAAGACAACCTACAAGCCAACTTGTGTCTGTGGCTGACAAAAATACCTGGGTTTATGATATACTTGTATTTATTTACATGTTGCATATCTTGAATTCCCTCAATCTGTCAGTTGTGAAAATTTGAAAATTCACATTACACGTCTACAAGAAGCAATTAGAGGTCCAGAATGTAGGATTTAAGAAGGATATATTGACAGAAATGGAATACAAGTAGTAGTAGAATCATCTGTTTTTCGTTACCGTAAACTGAGCTGTTTATGTGTAAGTAGGGAGAGGCTCGTGGTCTATGGAGATTGCCATGTTGCACCGTTTCTACAGTAGCCCACGATGAGCAGCGTTGTTAAAAAACACTGATTATTTTACATGAAACTGCTTCATTCAGTTTTTTTGTATCAGTTCAAATCACCTGGAGTCTCATTTATAAAACAATACATAGGATCCATACTAAAAATGTACATATGGACGCCAAAAATATTTGACAGTGTCTCTTCCTCTGGTCTGAGGAAGAGACCTCTGTGGACAATTTGGTTTCTGCTTAAAACCTCGTGAATGTTTGGATCTTAAACTATCAGAGAAAGTTTTAAGAGGTTTATTCAGTGTTTTTACTGGTTTAACTCATCAGGTCCATTTGATTTGGAGAGGAAGAGACCTCTGTGGATAACACTGAAGGAATTCTAACCAGGAGACGTTTCAGCTGGTTGCAATCTGCAATCCCCACTACTAGATGTCACTAAATCTCCTTAAATTGCACACACTGTTCCTTTAAGTGCACGCAAGTGGTGGCAGTATGTCAGCATTTGAAAATTCTGAAGTTCTCAAGGAAGATATTCTGGTGATATTCTAGCCAACTCTCATTCCGAAGTACTGCCTCTTTGTCAGTGATTTCGGCGTCAGACATCAATGCCAAAAGCCACCTTTTGGGCGGCTGGACGGCACCTGTCACGGCAGTATGATACTACCTGTAATGACATAAGGAGCTGGAAAGTCCCGATAGGGTGGGTAGGAGGAGCGGTGTATGGGTGCAACAAACCCTGGACTTTCATCCTGGAGCCCTGTGTTTGCTTCTCGAATTAATGTAGTGCAAAACCGCTATGTTGTTCTCTAAACATAACCTTGTGCTTTTGTTAACGTCTCGGCATTGGTTATGGCATCCTGGAACATGAACAGGAGATGCTGAAGGATACCTAGCACATATAGACGAGAGAGGTAACTGCAAAGCGGCGGTACGTGACGACTTTGGAATAAGAATGGGTTGGATATGCTAATAAGGCCCTAGTCTGCCCCCTAGTGGCTGAACTTTAACATGCAAAGTATGCAGGCAAGTGCATACATAATGTTGCCCTTGATTAAGATTCTGTGAAATGATTTACATTGTTTTGATCCTGCACTCTTTAAATGTTCAGAGTCAATATTCTCTCTCCTGTTCTGTTTTCCAGAACCATGGCTTAACCCCACGCTGCAAGATGTTGTCCCTTCCCGTGAAGTCAGCCAACCTCCTCAAATCAGAGACATCCCAGAAACTGAGACGACCTCACACTCCTTCCCCATGTTTGGTGAACACACCAACCTCAAATGGGTCACGTGGAATGGCTCCCTCCCAAATGGTGCCGTCGCCATCTTCAACGGCTACACGGAACGCACTGACTACGTGTGCAAAGTCAACTGTGAGGCCGGCTTCTACACTCCCAGCAAAGGGAACTTCTGCCAGTACCCGTACGCAGACAGCGAGTATGCATCCTCCAAGTTTGAAGTGCTGGTCAACGTGGACCACTTTGAGTTCCTTCAGTGGGTTGAAGATTCATACGGGTCAGTCCCCAGTTACGCCATCAAAACCTGCCCTAACAGGGACATCTATGTGGGGAAAAACAAGTACGGTCTTGGCAAAGTGGTGACCCAACACGAGGCCTTCTTCCTTCCCTGGGAGGGTGATGAGTACTGGTACAAGAGTTACCAGGTTCTCGCTATCAACAGAGACAGCTACAGCCAGCACATCTCTCACGTAGAGTACGCCATCGACCAGATGGAGCTGTTCCACCATCCTCCGGAGGCCCTGCAGCTCGCCAAAGTCACCAACCTGGAGTGCAAAAGTGTGGAGAAGACGGTGAAACTGGAGAAGACTAGTACAGTGGAGAAGCACTGGGACATCGGAAGAGAAACCCGCAACGGCTCCATCTCCACCATGAAGGCCAAAGTGCCCATCCTTGGCCCGGGGACGGTGGACTTCACCAAGGAGTATACGGTGACCTTCTCAGAGGGAACAACCATGGTGGAGTCCATCAGCCACTCTGTCTCTGTGGAGCTGCTGGTCCCACCCAACCACTCCTGCGCCGTGAGGATGGACGGCAGGAAGATGAAGGCGGACATCCCCTTCACTGGCAGGCTGAGCAGGACCAACCACAACGGAGACACCCACTGGACGTACATCACGGGCATCTACGACGGCGTGAGTGTCGGTGAGATCAACGCTGTGGTGGAGAGATGTCAGCCGGTGACTGATGCAGTTCCCTGCCCCTCGACTCAAGAATGAGGATCAGTCTGTTGGACTCACAGCTCAAAAGACAAAAAAATAAATGTTTCCAAATAAAATAAAATTAAAAATGTCATGGCCTTTTTTGTCTTGCTTTAACTGAGATATTGTAGTGCAGTTACTGTCACCGACTGGACCCTTGAAACTTTTAGATTAGTTCTTCACTTACCACTCGTCCAGTTACAAGACTGCAGTGTTTTTAAATCCCTTTAAGTACTTTAAGTGACAGATAACTATTACATGGGAAAGTAAATACCATATGTTTAGCATATATTTGGTCAGGCTGCCACCAATGCTGCAGCCCCTCAGGTAGTCATATGCTGTGTTCACACAATGTGCGACAACTCAACAGCATGACCAGCTGCATTATTGATGAATCCCAAATGAAATGTTACTCAGGCTCTCGTAGTGACGTCATCACAGGCTTATGTGTGTCTGCAATTTACCACAAAGCACCTCAACTGAACGTCATCTAAAGTTTGTATTTGGTAGAAAGAACTGACTTATGCTTATGATCAGAGTCAGAGCCTCATTTCAACATCACATTTTGCTGTCCCGTTGCATTCCCATGTGCACTACAGAAAAGCGTCGGGCATCAGTTTGTAGCTACATGTATGCGGCTTCCATTGAAAATGAATTGTAGCCTGTTGCCACGTGGCAGTTCAACCTGGTCTCACTCCCAAATTGTCGAATACCGGAGTTTGGGCAGTGCCTTCTGGCGTCAGACACCAACGAAAAAAGCTGTCCTTTTACGTCGGCATGATACGCAGCAAGTCGCTGTTATTGTGTAACAGCACCCTGCGGCGTCAGAGGGGAATGCAGTGTGACAAAAAGGGAAGTTAAGGGGGTGAAAGTCTGAGTAGGGCGGGTGGAAAGGGTGGTGGATGATCCAACAACCACTGGCTTTCACCTGGGAGGCCGGTGTTCACTTAAGTCAAACCCTGTTCTTTTTTCCTAAACCCAACCATGTGCATGTGTTGGCTAAACATAACCACGTGTATCTGTTGTTAAAGAAAAATAAAAAGTCAGTTCAAGTGACTTTTTTTTTTCCACTCTTGTCATGCATGCTGGTTAGTTCATGCAATCGGTTTGTTCTTGGCCAAATTTTAAACTGACAGAATTATTCTTGCTGTGATACATGATGTAATTTTGGAGATTGTTAAAGAAAATTGTATGTTTCCTTTAAAAAATCTGCGATAAAATAAATACAAAACACAACCTATAGATTTATATGCCCCTCTCCTGAGCCACAACAGAAAACTTAAGTCTCTCTCAAGTGCTTGAAATTGATTTGAAATGCCTCTCCCTTTTCGCACCACCTCTCACCCTTCATAAATAACGAACAGGCCCTTTGGACTCGAAAATCAGAGTTAAGGACTTGGGACTTGAGTGGGAACTTTTCAGACTTGATTTGGGACTTGAGTGCAAAGACTTGAACACTGTTATTTGCGAAACAGTGACTTGTTCCCACCTGTTTGTTTTGCTGAATGCTGTGAATGAAATAAAGTGTAGTTCCCGGTCACTACACTAGATGGTGCTGTAGCCCAACAGAGAGGGAGAAGCCTGTTCAGTCGTGTTGTCTTTGTAACACTCATTGACTGTGTCAGAGAGACATGACAGGACCACTAGCTAATGCAACCATACATGAGACATGAGGATAATTTAATACATTAATAAGTGTTTAATCTAACAGGTGTTGCGTGTCAGCCATGCCGGTGCCATCAACGTATGTTGACGTTGTTCCTAAGTGTGTTTAAGCTGTCGTGAGTTAGCCACCAAGGTACAGTAAGCTAACCTTAGCAAGCTAACAGTAGCTAAGCTAACAGTACAAGTCAAAGTTACCTTCACAGAGTTGTGACAGAATTACGACGTAAAAACCTCTGAGTTGTTTCTAATATAACGTTGCCAATAAGTTAAAGGCCAATACAAATACATATTGTTAAGTTATATTTTCATATGTAGCGAACCTCATTGAAAAATCAGTCCAGTGACACAGTGAACATACAGTGTACTCTCATTGGAAATGTTTTGTCATCAGGATAAAAACCTCTGAAATTTGACTTAATGACAAAAGCAAAAAGCCTTTTTTTATAAGCCGAATGAAAGAAGTCGCCATTTTAAGTAGAGTTTGTCGTTATCTGTCACTCTTTTTCAAGAAGCTGTTGAACTTTGTCACAATGCGACGACTTTTAACAAGAGTCATAAACCGAGTTTTGCTGAGTGAGCCTTTCACACCAGCGATGGGCATTGAAGCAGAAATACACACAGAAGGCCGACGAAGGCTGGTAAGTATTTAACCTCACATCATCTACAGTTTGTCTATTACACTTTAACTACATGGATATTGGTATAACTTTGACTACCATAGATTTATTAAGAATAATCGCCGGTCTGTCATGCAGGATTGATAAATCCCACCAGGGCCCGTTAAAAAATCTGACAATATAATGCTGTTTTGCTATTGGACAAAGTGTGCATCCCATAATAAAAGTTTGAATACACTTTCTGGATCAGTCTAAGCCACTTAATAATTCGGCATAAGTTTCATTCAAATTAAGTGCAGAGGTCTGTGTTTAATATTAATTAAATAACGTGCTGTGCTGCTTCAGCCATGCTGTTATTACCAGGCAAGTCTGCCTTAAATTGATAGATTTCAGAATGGAATTTGGTTTGTTTGACTGAGTGGTTTAGTGACATTTTGCCAGTGATCACTCTGTTTGACCAATGAGTGTAGCCATAACTGTGAGGACACTCGTGTGGCATTTCTGTTTTTAGTACTTTGGCATGTGACCTTCACTGTGTTAACGTCTCTTTGCCTTTTCACTGAGTCCTGCTCATGTTAAAAAATAAATAAAAGCTCAGTGTGTAGAGGCAGAACACAATGTTAGCAGTGTGTCAGCAGCCATAGACTCTAATACAATGCACTCTATAGTATTTCTGTTAACAGAGCTGTTGATGCTGCCAGTGGATCAGTACCATCAGTACAAGGCCGCGGCTGAATATTTGTGTTCTGTGTGTTTATGTCAGCCTCCTCAGCTGACTCAAAACCCTCTCTGGCTTTTTCTTGGGGAGAATCGACACTGTAGAAGCAATAACCCATTTGTCAATCTTTAGTGTGTCTTTATGAGCTCTATGGCACAAAGAGAATAATATCAGGCTTTGAAAACACACAAGACTTTAAATTAGAAAGAGATTAAATTCATGATGGGTTTTGGTTCCTTCATGAGATTTGTTGATGATAAGAAAAATATAAAAGTAGATGTATTTATGTAGCACAATTCAAACGCTTAAGGCAATTTCAAAGTGCCATACATGTATTTTACAAAGACTTTAAAACGTAAGGTTAAATGAGAAGATAAAAAGAAATTAAAAACAAAATCAAGGATGATAAATTTGTAAATAAAAACAGAATAAACATTTCGTAGGAGAATATTGGTGTTTAAAGCCAGCTCTTAAAGGCTGTCAGAGTCGGGGTACACCACAGATTGTTCTTTATTTATCAGAGCTGGGGTGTTATTTTGTTTGTTTGTTTTTTTACCCTCCCAAAAGCTACAAATATTTTTTCTTTAGCCTCTTTAAGTGACTGGTGATGGTTTATTTTGGGCCAAAAATGTTTTGTATTTCTTTGTCACACATGGTTTGCCCAAAGACAATTTGAAAATTTAATGATAATGTCTGTTTTTATAGTTTCTATTATCATTTTTAAAGCCTCCCTGAGCTGCTGGCAAAAAATGCATGACCCTTCCTCCTCCATATTTTAGTTATTAGATTTTTTTTATTTATTTTTTTATTTTTTTTAAAGCCACAGTTTTTCACTTTTATTGTGCATGCTGGTGAGTTCGTGCAAACGGTTTATTCTTGGCCAAGTTTTAAATAAGACATGTAGGATAAAGTGATGAAACATCACTTTTTTAACCTCAGATTTTGTGATTTTTTTTTGTTTTTTATTTTATTCTTATTTTTTTTCCTGATGGAAGTGTTCGTTGCGCACACATTTTTTCTTTAAGAATTAGTGACAAAATAGATTAAAAATAACAAAGAAACTGGTTTGCCTCTCTCCTAAGCCAAAATTAAAAAAAAAAAAAAAAACAGAAGTCCCTTAAGGAATTATTTGACATGCCTCCGTCCTTTTTGCACCACCTGCCCCACTTCATAAATAACAAACAGTCCCTCTCACAGGGAATATCACCAACCATTTTCTCTAATATGTGATAGTTTGACTCTAAGACAATGCTTTAATGTATGTCTGAAGATCTTCTCTCTATGTCTATTCTTATTTTTTGTCCATGTCAAATCAAAACATAAACTAACATTAAAAAGCTGTTTCACTACACAACAGGTGGTTTGCAGTGTTGCAGCTGTTTGTATTTATGTGTTTGTGCGTGTGTTTGTCAGGTGGTGGGGCTGGGTAACCCGGGGATGGAGGGTACCAGACACAGCATCGGCATGGCGGTGCTTGGTGCACTCGCCGCCCGGCTCGGCGTGGCTGACCGTTGGCGCGGCGACAAGCACGTGTCCGGTGAGGTCATCGTGTCAGAGGTACAGCAAACACATGTGGTGCTGCTCCGTCCCAGGCTGCTGATGAACATCAACGGGGTGTCAGTGGCCAAAGCAGGTGAGGTCACCGCCTCTCTGCGTGTGTCAGTTAGTGTTATGTAATATGTAAAAATGTTTGTGTGTTTATTTGTTTGTCTTTATAAACCGAGGTGAGCTCAGAAAACAAGCTCTGCTTTCAGATCCTGAACTCTGATTGTTCTCTTTATGTCCTCTGCAGCTCTGTCACTAATTGGTTTTGTTACAAGTGGCCTATAAACAAATCTGATTTTCATTCTCTCTCTGTTTGTTTCTCGAGAGCTGTTGTTTGTTTTTAATGAACATGCTGCTAGCCCAGCACCTGATAATGTCTGCTCACCTATTTTCTCTAGTAACTTAATCTGTACTCAACCACTTTCGGATCCAGACAGTCAATATCTGCAAAGGTCTCCTCCTCTCCAAAACAATCGAATGCTGTGATTTAAACCGGTAAAAACACTGAGTAAAGCAGTTTTTATGTTACAAACTGGTGTTTCTGCGACGCTGTTTGGATCATCGAACATGGGCTGCTAATCTCTGCTCACCTTTTTTTCTCTGAAAACTTAAGATCCAGGCGTTTTAGAGGTTTTTACCGGGAGCTGAATTATCCACAGAGGTCTCTTCCTCTGAAAACACAAACAGACCAGGTGATTTAAACCAGTAGAAACACTGGATAAAGAAGTTTCACGTTAACCCTCATAGTGGAGGGGTTGCTAACTATGGTGACGGATGTGAAAACACGAATGGCCCCGTCTAGAGCCAGTGTGTGGTTTGTCCCTTCTGGGCTACTGTAGAAACATGACAGTGCAAGATGGCGATCTCCATAAACGAGGGCCCACTCCCTATGTAGATAGAAACAGATCACTTTAAGTTAAGGAAAACATAATGAGTTTTATTTACACTAGAGAAAACTTACTTATTATGTTTTATTCCATGTCTGCTAATATATCCCTCTCAATCCAACACACTGGATCGCTAAGGACTTGTTTTGTGGTATCTTTTTGTGGCTGTTGCTCACTAAAAAGAAAATATTTGGCTTTGGCTGTTTGAGAAACTTACTTGAATTAAGGAAAATTTTTATAGTTAGGCTCTGTATAAAAGTAAGAACAAAACAAATTCCTGGGCAGTTAATATTTAGATATTTTCTCTAGTTAAGGAATGAAACTGATTCGCCATTGAATGTTTGATCCAAAGTGTTTGTCCTCCTCCAGCTGGTAAATATGGCATCAAGCCTGAAGACGTCCTGCTGGTCCACGACGACCTGGACAAACCTCTGGGGAAAATCGCCCTCAAACATGGAGGAAGTGCCAGGTTGGTGTCATTCAGCATGTTCTCCAGATGTCAGGTTGGCTCTGATACAGCAGTTTGAGGGTCTGGAGAAGAAGTAAATGTTAATCTAAAGATTTCAATTGAATAACTTTTTTTATTTACCACTCTGTAAGCTGGTGCATCTCGTTCCCTCTAAGAAATAATAACCCAAATATATTTTTATGGCTCCGCTCTGGTGACAGCCTTGGCCAGATGTTTGGGGGTTTTCTGTCCCATTCTTGTGAATGCAATATCTCAAAAAGGCCTTGAGAGAATTTCCATAAATTTTGCGCAAACGTCCACCTGAACTCAAGGATGAAGTGAGTGAATTTTGTCATAGGTCAAAGGTGAACGTCACTTTGATCTGGTCCGTCTCATTCTCATGAATGTGATATCTCAAGAACCTCTTAAGGGAATTCCTTCAAATTTGGCACAAACGTTTCTTGGACTCAACCATGAACTGATTAGACTTTGGTGGTCAAAGGTCACTGTGACCCTGCGTCCTCCTTGTTCTTGTGAATGCAATATCTCAAGCCCTCAAATGTGGCACAAATGTCCACTTAAACTCAAGGATGAACTGATTAAATTTTGATGGCCAAAGGTCAAGGTCACTGTGACGTGGTCCGTCTCATTCTCATGAATGCGATATCTCAAGAACACCTCAAGGGAATTCCTTCAAATTTGGTACAAATGTTTACTTGGACTGATTAGCCATGAACCATGAACTGATTACAATTTGGTAGTCAAAGGTCACTGTGACCCTGCGTCCTTCTCGTTCTTGTGAATGCAATATCTAAATCCCTCAAATGTGTCACAAACATCCACTTAAAGCCCAACTAGCAGCAATGAAAGCTGATCATTGTGTCGTCTCACATTGTCTGTGTCTCGGCCAAAAGCTTGTGCAGGAACACGCCGCAAAGACTACAGCCGACCACCAACAGCACGTCAGTCTGCACCTGCGTGACAGGAAGTAACTCCACACCAGCAGACACCGGTAGTCAGTATTCGTCATTCAAACAAAGAAACCAGAAAACCATCTTGACGCACGTTAGCCATTTAGAATATAACAAAACAATCCAGTGTTGAAAGAGCAACACATATTTACTGTGCACCAATAAAACATGAAAAAAACAAAATGTTTCTGCTGAAGAGGTCAACCTGCTGTCGCTAACTAGGGCGACAGGCGCTTACCGACGGCCAAACATTGGCCGACGCCTGACTGTCAGCTTGGTGTGTCAGGGCCTTTAGACTCTTTGATGAACTGATTAGATTTTGGTGGTCAAAGGTCAAGGTCGCTATGAGTTTTCACCTGTCCATTCTTGTAAACGAGATAGCTTGATCCCTCAGATTTGGCACAAACGTCCATTTGAACTCAAGGATGAAGTGATTAGAATTTAACGGTCAAAGGTCACTGTGACCTTTGGCCATAACTCAAGGATTTATACGCAGATTATATTAACAACAGGATTAGAAAAATAAGGAAATGATGGGATGCTTAACATAATATTTTATGGAAAAGTCCACCTTTGTTTTCACACTGTAAGAATGCAAAAATAATTTCAACCCCAAATTGTTCTTGTTCACAGAGGTCATAATGGAGTCCGCTCCTGTGTGGACTGTCTTCAGACGGATGTAAGTGACACAGCACAACTGTTCGTAACACTGCAGCTTTGAATTGTTGGAGTATATTAAACTATTTGAAGTTTGTCTTTAATTTTTTTATTTGTGTTTTTATGTAAGAAATGTCCATCTGCTGATATAACTGACGGTGACAGCTCAGGCATGTTTGAGCTCACTGTGTCACAGTTACTTTAAAGACTTATTTCCATAGTGGTAAGATTAAATAGATCTAAACTTACCTTGAAGAATTTTTTTTACAACATGCTCAGTATAGTATCAAATAACTTTTATATGTGTATACGTACATAGGAAAATGTAATACACAACCACAATAGAACCACAATAGAATACAGTTTGAAAGAAATATAAATATACATAGAACAAAGGGGGCTACAAATTACAAATGCAGAACACAGATTTGGCAAAACTTTCTAAAGAAACTTAAGCTGTGATTTTTGCTGAAATGTTGCTGTTGTAACATTTAAAATTGTTAAAAGACAAATAGCAAAGACAGTTATTGTCCTCAGGTGATGCCCAGACTTCGGGTCGGGATCGGCCGGCCGACGGGGAAATCCTCTGTGGAGCAGCACGTTCTGGGCCGGTTCTCCTCCGAGGAGAAGAAGGTTCTGGACTCTGTTCTGGTCCAGAGCGTGGACCTCCTCCTCCACCAGCTCTCCAAGCAACACTCCCAACAGGACTCCCAGTCCCCCTCCTCACCAGCAGGAGGCAGGCGAGCAGCACAGCAGAGGAAGGAGATGGAGCGCTCGGCCTCTCCAGCTGAGAGCTCCGCTGCTGCTCAGAGCTGAAACTCAAAAACATGAACCTGCACAGAGAGATCTTTACTCAGGCTGTTTATTCTCTGGTGTGAGTTAAAGGAGATTAATGTTCCTGCAGAGCATGAGAATGACTCCAAACGACTGTCTTGATTCTCCTTGAAACTGTGCAACATACAGAAAGTTCAAAATGAATGAATGCCATGAACTTCTCTAAAAACAGAGCTGCAGCTAATTCTCTGCATTGAGTTTTACCACAGAGGAGGTTGTTTTCACTCATATTTGTCTGATTGTTGGTCGAAACACCGCAAAGTAAAATGTGGTGCAGCGCTCAGCCTCAGGCAGAACATTTAACAGCAGGATATTTAACATTGCAAGATGAAACATTTTGTGATTTTCTGATTGAATTCTGTACATGGATGTTACAGTAATCCCATGGTTGTCTGTCACTGTGTGTGTTGTGAAGCACACAGACGCAGATTAAACATCTCTATGCATTTATTTGGATTAAAATTACAGATTAAGAGCACTGCACCCTTTGTGGAGGTATGCAGAGGAGCGTGACTGATGCAGCTTTTTCTGCAAATTCATTATACATCTGAAAGTGTCAGGAATCTACAAAACAAAAACTAGAAAAATTGTAAAGTAGGGTTACAATCATAGACTGAAAATAAAGGTAATAGCGTTCAGTTCGGTTTAAAGTTTCAGATTTCACCATCTTGGTTTGTTGAAGCCAAATTGATCATATTTGTGCGAGAGGCTGGAGCTGTGTTGGAGCGAGGGCTGGACTGGACTGAGACGCTGAGGACACTATCAGCAGGCAGCCTGTCACTTAAAGCGAACCACCTTAAATAATGTGTAACTCAAAGCCTTCATGAATGTGAACAGGAGAAAGGGAGAAATTAGCTGTAGAGGTCAAAACTGTTTTTTGAACCAGGCTGTAAACATGTTTATTTCTGTATCAGTGGACATTTCAACATGGGGGTCCGTAGGGATTTACTGTGTTTTGGAGCCAGCCTCAAGTGGCCGTTCAAAAGACTGCAGCTTTTGGCACTTCTGCGTTGGCTTCATTCTTCAGCCCCAGAGGTCGCCTCTTGGTTACAATAAAGAGGTCTGCATGTATTTATGTATTTGAACATGCAGCTTGAAGGAGCAGTGTGTAGGATTCAGAGGATTTAATCAACACAGTCTTGCTCCAAAGTCACCAGAATCCAGCGCTTGGTCAGTGACTTCCACCATCAAACAGTAATGGAAGGACGGCTTTTTTCATCTGTGTCTAACAGCAAGAACGAAAGTTATGGCGGTGAAAGTCCGACCAGGGCAGATGGGAGGGGTGGTGAATGGGTTCAACAACCACTGACTTTCAGTGTACCCTTCCCGTGTGATAGTAAAGCCAAATCCTGTTCTTTTTTCCTAAACCCAACACAGTGTGTGTTGAAAGAAAAAAAGGTCAATTTGCAGTGTTGTACCAACGTAGTGCTTTTATTTTGAAAGAGACTGTCTGCAAACTGTACATTTCCTGTGAAAACAGAAGTGTATTTTGAAAACAGACAATGCATGTAACAGGCTGAAGTTGACACGGCGTCCCAGAACGTCAACAACCAACACACCCAGGGTACCTTGGACATCATACGTGGACGTGGTCAGTGACCAAACATCAATATGTGACGAGGCTGAATTGAGACTGTGTTGAATCCGTGGTGTCAATCGGTGGGAATTGCTGCACCCAGCTGAAACTTTTCCCGGTTAGAATTACATCACTGTTCATTGTTCAGGAGGTTTTAACCAGGAGCCGAACTATCCACAGAGGTCTCTTCCTCTCCAAAGCAAACAGAATAAAAACACTGAATAAAACTGTTTCATGCAACAAATCACTGTTTCTCCTACACTGTTCGTGACAGAGGAGCTGCTAATTACAGTGGCCAATGCAAAAACTTGAATGGCAGTATTTAAAGTCTGTGGTTTGTCTGTTTTGGCCTACTGTAGAAATATGGCGGACTCTGTAGACGAGGTAGTCTCTTACACAGACGCCGATGACATCAGCACGCTGGTTGACTGTCATCTGTGGACATTCCCACAGGAAAGTTGTAATAGAAATAGCGCTGGCTCCCAGCGGCAGTGATGTGATTGGATCCAAATCCGTGTACTTCCGTACTTCCTCGACCAACGGCTGATTAGCTTTGCCTTACACCCCCCTACACCGGAATTGCTGTTCCCTGAATTGTTGTCCGTAGTACAACACAAAATATCCGGTGCTTATTTTTCGATGACAGGAATGACTCCGAACAAAGTTTCTTTGGTGTAGTCGCCTGAGCCATGACTGACCACATTATGAATCTACATCACAGTACTACGCACTGGTAACCTGGTCTCTGTGTTCTGGTCCGTCTCTGTTACATGTAACACACGTGCTATGGCAACACCGTCACATGGTCTGGATATCCCCGCCCATTTCTATTACAAAACGAAAGATGAATGTCCGTCGGCTCCCATTCTGAAGTAAGGGAGGGTGGTCACGCGAGACTATAGACGAGGACCTGCTCCCTATGTAGATACCTCTCATTCTGAGGTAAAACACAATGATTCATGTTTCCAGGTGATGATACACTGAAGAAAACATACTGATTATATACAATTTCTGCCAGTATATCCCTCTTAAATCCTACACACTGGACCTTTGCAAACAAATCTGTGCGTAAGACATACTGTGTTACTTATTTTCCCATATACTCTGATGGAGGAGCATCTTATACAGTACAAACAGTTTTCATGTCTAAGGATCCAGTTTTGACTGCAGCTGCACTCGCTGCAACAGTATCAGGCCACAACATGAGGTACTGAAACTGCAGCTTGCTAGAGACAGGTTTTCTAAAGTAGAGAATGAACTCAGCAAAGATCCATTTTGGATCTAAATATCAGATTTTTTTAAATAAGAAATTGAACACAGTTAAAGGATAACTTCGGTATTTCTCAACCTGGGCCCTATTTCCCCATGTGTATGTGTGCGTATGATTCATAGGTACAACTCGTTCTAAAATTGGTTCAGTATTGAGGGAGGCGGATGCAGCCGGCAGCCGAAACAAGCTAAAACGGTAACGGGGGCAAATGCGTCCTGTATAAGTTTAAGTGCTTTTTTTCGCCACTGACGGGTTCAGATCGCCAGTGCTATCTCCGTAAATAGCATACTAAGCGTTTCCCTTACCCTTCACCTCTGTGAAGCTGTGTGTGACGTCATCTTGCGAGAGCTTTGCTTGTTGCCGGAAGAAAACAGTGGAGCCATGCTGAGCGCCGCTCAGAGTGGCGCAGGTTGTCCCGGAGTACAGCTGAGAGTTTTACTGCATCGATTGAAAACAATGGTTTGTGTTTGTGCTTATCCGAATTGCAAGAACAGGATGTCGCGCAACACCCCGTACAGCTTTCACAGGCTGCCTTTGTCGGACGACGAGATGCTGAAGTTGTGGCTAGTTGTGCTACAAATGGATGCTAACACTCCTGTCCAGACACTGCGCCTTGCAGACCATCGGGTCTGCAGTGCTCACTTCTCCCAAGATGACTACTGCCAGCCGAAGAAGAGAAGACATCCAATCCCGAAACACCTCTTCCTTAAGAAAACGGCTGTCCCACGAGTAGAGAGAGCTACAGACACAGTGGAGCAAAGCTCGTGACATCACACAGCCCAGAGGTAAGGGAAAGGCTAGTATGCTATTTACAGAGATAGCACTGGCGATCTGAACCGGTCAGTGGTGAAAAAA